AGGTTTAGGGTTCAGGGTAGGATAACATGAACAATGGAACGGCAACTGGGGCTACATGTTGGTTATATCGGGTTTTCAATAGTAGAGGAGATGCTGGTGCCCTCAACCCCTATAATAAGGACCCAGGGGTTATGTAAGAATTTACATGTTAGGTAATGAACAGATGTTGGCACCCCTGCTTTGAGAAGGAACCGGTACGAGTCAAGTGATAGTCATTAAGCCTTTTATCTTGTGATTAGGGCAACCAANNCCCCCCCCCCCCCCCCCGCCCTCAGATTTGTGAGTGATTGGAGTGAAGAAGGCTTCAGGAACTTCAGGGTTTGTTCGCAAGGTTGTCCAGTTGTGGCGCTTGAAGCATGCAGCATGGCCATGTTGTGGGTTATCTTTGGATGAACCACATGGAATTTATCAAAACAAGAATTGCCAGGCTCCTCCTGTGGCCATGGCGGTCGTGGGAACATCACCTGCAACAATGGACGGCTGTTGTTCTTTAAGCACGCCCCCAGCCCATGCCACTTGGATGCCTCCTCGATACTTGAGGCCTGAAGACAAGAAGACCTAGGTTTGGACTTCTCAATGTGGGACTCTCTTGACGGACCGGACATTCTCACACGCAAGGCCTTTCAGCTGAGATCAAAACTGTTGAATCATGTCTAGATATGTCTAGTACCTGCGCATGGGACCCGGAATCACTTTCCTTAGCAACCTCAGCATCTGCAGAATTGCATGCATGCCAGCCTGTCCCTGGCGGGCTGTTAGTAGGAATGGAGGATTTGAAAGAATGGCTTGCTGGCTGTATGATGACTGAAATAGGTTCCAAGCCTCCATTCCCTACTCACAGGGAAATTCCGAAAGCCAGCCTTCTCACGCTACCCGAACAAATCAGCATGTGGACATCTCTTGTAATGGTGGTCCAACTTCTGAACTTCCATAGTAACCCCTAAACCCTAAACCCCTAAAACCTGATAGCATCCGCCTCCCCAACAGCTCTGTACATTGCAGAGACCTCAAAAAGGTGCCCTCCCCCAAACCCACATGGAACCAACTCAAGGGCTGTACCCCCAGATTTCCTGGAGAGAGCCCACATAAACTCCGTCCAAACTTTGTGTAGAGGGGTTTAAAGTTTAGGAGTCCCCCCAAAAGGTCAGGGGACCTTCGCAAGCATACTTTTTTACTGCCATAAAACAGATAAGAAACCCACTTGTCCTCACTATTACCCCACTTACCAAGTCCCCCTGACCGTCCGAAGTACTAATCCTGTACCCCTAATATCCAATCTTCCCACCCCTCCTAATTTTAAATACTCGTATACAGGGTTGTATTCTACTAGATTGGGGAGTATTTAATATTAGCGGGGGTGGGGAGTTGAATATCAGGGGGAGAGGATTAGAGAATCTGAGTCAAGTCTAAACCCTAAACCCTCAACCCTGAACCCTAAATCCTGAACCCTAAGCCCTAAACCCTAAGCCTCTCTGACTGGCAGGAAGGCCGGCAGTGAACTCACAGGAATCGTGGCCTTGAGGTCACACATAATGTAGACCCTTAGGGTCTAGGGTTTAGGGCTCAGGGTTGAGGATTTAGGGTTTAGGGTTCAGGATTTAGGATTTAATGTAGGACTTAGGTGGACCCCCCACCCAGTAATAGTGACTATAAGGGATAATAGGGATCATACTAGGGTCCTCTTATATTCTTTTTATACCACTATTACAGGGTGGGGAGGCCTCCTAATGTAGGACCCGTGATTCTAAACCCTTCCCCTTAATAGGGATAATAGCCCCAATAATGGAGAATCAAATGAAAAGAAACTGGAAAATGAAATGGAAACTAGTGAAGATATAGGGATTTTTGAGGGCTGTGTAGGGACTATAATAGGGATCCTCCGATTAAGGCCCTTAAAGGAAGGGGGGGAGGGGATGTATTAATCAGGGGTCTACATTATTTGGGATGAAACGTGGCTTGGAATTCCAGCATGCAGGGTCTAAGATGGTGAGAAAGAGCCTTTGCGGGACTGCGGAGTTACGTAAGTGTTTTAATTCTTCACAAGATTCCCGGGCGTTGTACGGCTCTACTCTTTGAATCCTTCCGTCTGGCAGGCAGCCAAGCGAAGCTGACAAAAACCTTGGGATATAAGCTGTGAAAATGTAGGCCGGCTAGAATCCTTGAAGCATTTGCATCCTTCCCTGACAAGAATCGGAATTTAATGAGCAAGAAATTCCTTAAATCCAAGCCCCGAAGCTCGAGCCCCAACAACCTTGACCCTGAAACTCCTAAGCCAAACTGCGCTCCTTGCTCCAATACCTATGCCTCTAAGCTCGCAGGCCTCAAACCGTTGCAAACAAAAGTGCCCTAAACCCCGAACCCCAAACCTCCCTAAACCCGCAACCCTCAAAGCAACGCCGAAGCTCGTTTTCAGTGCCAGGGAAAGGATCTGTTGCCCATCCAGGATCGGCGAAGCCACCTGGCTCCGCGGGGTTTAGCCATGGGGCGGACTGAAAGCAGGTACGGCACACTTTCGTGCTGCCCAGAAAGGCTGTCATTATACAATTACTTTAAATCCCTAAACCCTGAACCCTATACAATCATATTCCTTGAGTATTCTCCAACTGGTATGGAGGGCAGGCAATATCCAAGGCACAAATTGCTAAAAGCCTTCTGCAAGAAACCTGGGTTCTAAGGAACCTAAATTAAATTACTATGGGAATTTAGTAGATAATGGGGTTTCCTTACATTGTAAACAAGCTCCTTAGCAGCATCCCAGTAAGGTTCATGGTATGCTTTGGCTATCCTAACCTTGCCTAAGCTACGAAGCTACGAACCAGCCGCTAACTATCATCTGCTGACTGTCTCTAGATTCCCCAGCAACCCCTTAATACAAAGGGCACCCATTCTCCTAATGTTCAGCTTTCATAAGATCCCGACATGACAAGACACAAAAAGGTACTACTGGGGTACCTAATTTCCTTATTAGCCTTAAATAAGCCGTATACAGCCCTTATATCATCCCTATATACTTATCCTTACATAACCCTCTAAAGGGAAAAAAGCTACTACTGGGGTACCGCAGCAGGGAATCAAACTACAAGATGCTAGGCATCCCTCGGAATTCTTATTGCAAACCTGTACTGCGGGGTCTCCTCATACATGACAAACTACATCAAAAAAGCCTAAGTGCTATACTTACCGGTTATTAGTAGGGAATAAGGCAACATGACATATATATATATATACGGTTACCAAGGGAACCTTATTTATCTCCTTGTAACCCTATAGCATAGTGACTTGAAATTGCGCTGCTGTTCCTGGGATCTGTCTTGACGCAACATCTGCTGGCTTGGAATTCACAGACCAGGCTTCCATGAGTTGTTGAGGGTCCTAACCATAAGAACCCAACTCTGTTTGAGGTGTATGTAGGGGACATCCCGATTTTAAGCCCCGCGAATTGGAAAAGACAAGCGATGCCGTTGACTGAGTAAGGTCCAGATCTCGAAGGTGTGAAATTCAGGGGCCCGCCCAAGGTCAGACAATACAAGCATCTAGCACAAGAGATTGCAGGGTGTCGATTCCAATGCGCAAGATCCTGTTTCCATGCTTCCATGTGGCGAGCATAACGTTAAACGTGGAACAGTCGTTGGCTCAACAGCCGCACAGACTCCCAAAGGTGGGATCTCAAAAGGTGAATTGTGTGAATTGCTATCGGGGTTGCACTGTGCCTGTGGTCTGTACATGGTCTTGCACGGTCTGTACATGCCCATGGCTCGCGCACAAGCCCACATAAAGCGATCTAAATAATGGCGTGGTGTCTCCTAAAAGCAGGTAGGGCTTTCCCTCTGCCTGGCCTTGAGAGCCGCTGAAACCAAGCTAGCTGCCGGCAAGCCGTCAAATACTGGCCATTGGCCGCCCAATGATGATGATCCGAAAAGACCCAAAGAATTCACATGTGGCTTCTCAAATGGGCACACCCGTAAATACATTCATGTTCTGAAGAAGCACTATAGAAAACACAAATATCTCAAATTCCAAAACTGTAACTCAGAACCCTAAACCATCGCAGCTGCCCAGTACAGCTGAATCAACTGAACCCCTAAAAGGAGCCAGTAACTAGCCTGATTGGGCTCTGAGACTTGGTGTCTCCAAAACATGGCAATAATGAGGATGACTGTCGTATATTTAGTATATACCACTAGGGACGACAGGAATTGGTAAAGTGCAAAGTTTCGCTCTACCTAGCCTCTTGGGGCACAAAACTTTCTGCAGCCTATCTCGTCTTTACGCAAGGCTGCAGACATAAAAAAAGAGCGGATGGAGGTATCCGCCTATGGGATGACCACAAACCTGTCCTTCAGCAACTTCGTGGCATTCCCTGTTCCGTTCTGCGTGACATTTGCGGTCAGCGCGTTGGATGTAGCAGCGGTGCTGTTCCCATTCGTGGCCGAAGAGTTGGTCATGCTCGCGTTTGATGGCTGCATCGTGCCGTTGGTGTGGTTCGTGGCCGTGCTGTTTGCCGTAATGTTGGCCACTGGGGTGGCATTCTTCGGGGGTGCGGCCGGCTCGGCTTTGATTACTACAGAGGAGTTGGTGTCGACCTTGATATTGAGAATGGCATCCGTTTTGCTTTCCCAGAGGTCCACCACAGCCCCGTGCCGGGCCTGAATGTAAGCACTCCCGATGACTCCTGAACGGACGGTGATGTTCGCATCATCCGCAATGAATAGGTGTGAGCTGTTCGCGGAAGAGTTGAGCTTCTGCCTAGGTGACTGGGATAAGCTTCTGTTCCCGTGCACGGCCATCAGCCTCAAGCCTTAAACACGCCTATCCCAGCCACAATTCCTGTGAGGATGTTGAATGGACCTTTGTGTGCACGTATTTGAAAAAGCCAGGAATCCGCAATCCCCAAAGACCGAAGCTGTTAAACTCCGAGCCAAAAAAACCGTGAACTGCAACCCTTTAACGCTATATCCGCACATCCGCAGCATCCATAAGCAGTCATGTTCAAACTAGCCATATATGTATTCCAAAATAAATACTAGGTGCCGTAGTTAAGCTGGGATTTGAGCAAAGGGCAACAATTCTTGAAAGGGCCTGCCTGGACTCTTATGATTCATAAAACCCTTTCTTCTTCGAAATTAGGCCGTAACTTCTTTTCTTTAGACCCGTATCTGACTTACTTACATCTGCCGGATGGCACCGTGAGATTGCTCTTGCTGTCTGCAGCAAGATCCCCCGTGACGATATCCACCAGGACCTTTGCACCACCTGTGTGATGAAAAGGGTTTAGGGTTTTGGGCTTAGGGTGAAAAACGGACCCTGACTTTTGGAAACTAGTCCCTAAAGAAGACCATAAAACCCCAGTTTGCACTTGGTTTACCAGGGGCTTCTCCGTCATTGGGGGGGCAATATCCCTAAACCATAATATACATCGCTATCATATCCCCATATGCCCTTGTATAACCAAAAAGGGACCCCCAATTTTGGGAAATCCCCACCTGTGACTGAAACAGCCTGGAGTGGCTCCGGCACTGTCAGCGTGGCCATCTGTTCCGGGGTAGCCCATAATCGTGGAGATATGGGGTTATGTAGGGATGTATATGGTAGCTTCAGGGATATTACCTCCAATAATGGAGATTAAAGCCTAAAAGAAAATGGAACATGACATGGAAACTGGGGATTTAAGCAATATGTAAGGATTTAGGGTCAGGGTAGCTCCTCCAAGCTAGCATGCAGCACCAGTGAGTTCCATAAATCCCCTTTGAGAGGACATGGGTCTTACGAGAGGCTTTGCATAGGTTGCACAGCGGGTTCAGGGATTCCGGTTCAGGGCGCTTGGTTTCATTGCTCCTGTCTCGCAGCATGTAGCAAGAAGTTCTGCCAATTTGGGTGTGGAGTTCCAGAGCTTGCGGGTTGAGGCTTGGATTCCAACGCTGTTTGACTGGCCACGCAAAGTCCTGGAGCACGAGGTCCTTGTGATTTAGGAGCTGCTCAACACAGGGCGCTTACAATTCTAGATTGGTACCCTATGATCCCTACTTGCCAACGGTCACAATGCGCACCCTTCTTTGAGGAAGCCCCAAGTTTTGCAGGATGTCCTTTCAAACTTTGGCGGGCTTTAGGGATGGTATGGCTGGCCAGGAAGGATGCCAGCTGTGCTAGCATTTGGCGAGCTCGTCTGGTGTAAATGCCTCACATGTCAGAATACATATATATATATGTATCTATACATACATATTTATGTGTGTGTGAATGTCTATACATATATGTACATGCCCATTCTCCGGTGGTAGAAAGCTCCCTCTGTGGTCTTCCACATCGTAACTGAAGGTAGCGTGAGGTCTGAAAAGCTTGTTCAGCTGTAGGACTGCTGCAAGACGACAGGCGCACTCATGCTGCGGCCCACAGAAACAACTCCTACACCTTGCGGCATACGTAACTATTGGCACTCCAGAGTGGTATACATACAAGTCCCTAGAGTCCCTTGAGGCTCCGCCTGTCCACCAGCAGGCCAAGTGAACTGCTGTCGCACGGCTCGCGCGTCCATGCCCAACAGCAAGGTGGATCCGAACGTCATTGGCTGAACCTCGGACTGGACTGTCCATCCAAGTCCCATATAGTCCGCTGCGATGTCAAGATCCGCATTGTGCCGAGATGTGTCTGTTATCACATGGACGACCATGGGAGCACTGACCTGTAACCGCTGGAAGGGGGCCAGCCAATCGCGCCCCGCAAATGCTACCACGAGTTGCAAGAAGAGGCACACACGGGCGACAGCCATGGTGGATGCGAGGAACAGGCTATCCGCTACTTTTCAACACTCAGCCAGAAAATTGCAACTAAGCGTGGCATGCGAAGATCATCATGCACCTGCTTCTTTCAGTATTTTCAGCGCGAAGACAGCTTATGCTGCATATAGGTAACTAGACTCTTTGATATCTTGCACTTCAAGGTCCTGCTCAAACGGAGATGGCAAACCAAGCTTTGCCGGAGCCCGGCTTCGTGCTACAGGTCGAAGATGCTAGGCTGCAGATTGCTGCAGTGCTTAGGAACCTCACGGGCCCAAGAACACAAATCTTGAATTTTAGGTCTCGCGAAAAACCACGCAGCTTACACTATTTGGGACCTTAAGCCCTGTTGTCAGGTAGCTGCATCCTCCTAGGGCAAGCCCCATGCTCTTTCTCGCTCTGGAGACCCTCTTAGAGCAGAAGGCGCTGGAAGCCCTGAAGAATGGAGATTCGGAATTCGAAAGAAAACTCAAAATGAAACGAAATCTGGGATTTTGTGGGGCGTGGCGCCTAAATGAGGGCAGTTAGGGCGGCGGCATGTGATGCCATGTTGACATATTGTCAGGAATATGAAGCAATGAGATTGCTACATAAGCACTCGGGCTCTAAAAATACAGATGTAATTGAAGTTTTAAGGCTTAGATCTACAGATCCCCTGAAGTCCCAAAACTGTCTCTTAATCCTAGAAGCCGTAGACCTCTAGTTGAAGCCTGAATCCCTAGAACCCCTGTTGTACACTCCTTCTGCTTTTCTGATCCAGGTACAAACTCGTTAATCAAGGTTCCAGGGTCGTACCCCTAAAAGGTCCTCCCAATATGATCCCAGTATAACCCTTGTATGAACCCATGTAGTGTCATGGCTTCCTCCTGAAACTCTTGAGATGGGAGTTTCTAAAGAGGGTGCCTTTCGTGATACAACAAGCGGATAACGGGGGCTCTCATTGGGTACCATATGTTAAAGACTCCCAGATTTTTAGCACAGCAAGACCTAATCAACAACTTACACATTGATCAAACCCTACACCCTAAACCTGTTATTGGGGAGGGGACTCTAGAGAACGCCCTGGCTCCTGCCGGCCGGTCAACGAAACTGTATTCTAAACCCTAAGCTCTAAACCCTGACCCCTAAATCCACTACTACTCTATATAACTCATTATAGTAGGTTCCCTTCATAACCCTACACTATACCCCTATATTATACCTAAGCCCCCTACAAGCCCTGGGTAACACATCAAAACCTAAAAACCAGGCCCAGCTCGCCGTATCCCCTTGGCGGTGGAATTTGTGAAGGGAGTGAGCTGGAAGAGACCCCGGTCCTCAGGATTTGTTGGGGGGCAGGATTTAGGGTTTGGGGTTCAGGATTCAGGTGTTGGGGTTTAAGGAGTTTGGAGTTCAGGACTTAGGTTATAGGGTTCAGTATTTAAGGTTTGGAGCTCAAGATTTCGAATTCAAGATTTAGGATTCAGGATTTATTGTTCAGGATTTGTATGGGGTTCAGGACGTAGGGTCCAGCCGCCCATGGCTACTTGCCCTTACTCCATATTCACATGGCACCCCTAAGCCCTAAACCCGAAAGCCCGCAAACAAACCCTAAACCCTGAATGGTAGTTTTCATTTTCCTTTCCATTATCGTATTATACCCCTATATTATTCCACAAGTAGAAGTTCCCTCAAGTATTCCAATTGCTGGACAGCTCTTATTGTTCTACGGGTGCCAAACCCTAAGTCGTTGCCCTATTTAGGCAACTTTTAGGGGTGTATGCTGGAATATTGGAGGGCTAGCCATCCTCGCCCCTCCACGAAAAACCGTATCGAAAGGAGAGTAGCCTCCGTAGGACCCATGATCGTTCAGGGATTGACAGTTCCCCCTGGTTACCTGATTGTAGGAGTGTTTTACAAGGGCCATGACTGTTCTGATTCCTTTCTCCTAAGCAAGAGATTCAGGCTCACATACTTGGGGCGGGCGGGCGGGCTCAAGGTTTATCACTTTAAAGCGGCATGGCTGTTGAAAGCCTTGGAGTCCGATTTTGGAAGGCTGGGTATCTACACGGACCTTTTCAAGCACGTCTCTGGGCTTGGACGAGGGTATGCAAATCGGTCTCTTGCAGCCTGAGAGACTCTAGTCTGTCAAAGCATTATCTCCTTTGAGGCGCAAGGTATACCCCCGAGCCTCTGAGAGCTTTGTCCCAAGATCCGACACCAGCTTCAATACAGGACGTGGTAGATGAGACACAGTGCAGCTTAGAACCATAAGCTACATGAAATACGTGAAATGCAAGAAGTATGCTTGCTGCTTCCCAAGACCTCTTAATTGAGGGTTCCTCTTCAATTGTGGTGGTTAGGCTGCCCTGAGAAAGGTCTTGCTGAAAGACAAGAACTCACACAGGCAATGCACAAAGAAAACAACTTACTGGGGGTTAGTAGGGAGGAAACGAGAATCATGCTGTTCCCTTCTCTCTGTAACTCCCACTAAGTATCACATCCCAATATAATCCGAAACGTGCTACAATAGTTTCCCTTTATTCGCCAGGTAAAAAACAATGTCTATGTCTATCCTAAACCCTAAGCCCTATAACGTAAATTCCCCCTTCCGGCTTCTTGCAGTCCGAAAGCGAACGCCCCGACTGTTGCTCCTCCATGGCTCTGAAACGTTCCTGCCAACGACAACACACGGAAGCGTCTCGACATGGGTCGTTGGTCGTTCCCAAAATTAGGGTCCCCTTTTGATACCCCTACCTATTTGGTGCTGCAATATAATCTATAACCAACCGGGGCCCATCAACAGGGCTGTCATCGTTCAAGTGGCAGTTGCTCTAGAGGATCTCAATATATGGCCCTTATTTCGGGTTCTACATATGTGGCTGGGGGGAGGGTAGCTTGACTGTGAAAAGCCCATAAGCTTTCAGATTTCTGTCATAACCAGATGCTAGTCAAACTCTCCCGCCTTCGCGCTCTCAAATTCCTCCAGCGTCAATATGGCGCCTAACTTCCTGGGATTGGCACAAAACGGCAGAAATTCATGTGTGGTTAAGGCGGACTTCTCTCAGGGTAGTGCGGCCACACTGCCTTTTTTTGACACGCGCTGCTATAAAAGCAGTCTTGAATCAACTTGAATTTGGGGTTTCAACTGTTCGGAAGCATGCCAGTACCTGTATCGGTCCCCCTGCCAAGTACAAAGCTGGAATGGCTTCCAAACATTCTGTGCAGAACGCTCCAGCCCAGTAAGCTGGCAGAGCCAGGGACCTTCCTGCAAAATGCGATTTCTGGAAACCACTGACACCTTCCTTGATGTCTCCGGGCTACTGGCCTTCAGGAACAAGTGGGATCCAGAAGCTCTTACCCTAGCTTCAACACCTGACCTGTTGAACAAATCATCCTTCAGCTTCTGGATGCTATTATATGAGCGATAATCTAAACTCCTACTATCCCCCTTCATAAGCCCTATAAGACTCCCCTATATAATCCCTGTATAACCCCCTTTGAGGAGTTTAGACTAGAGCTCATATGACCGTAATCTGGGATGAGCATGGAAACTTGACACTCCGCTGCCCTATGAACAGCGCTGGCCTCTACCTCATCTTCCAGATAGCGCTGTTGGAGGCATGGTGTGTTCAAACCCCCAGGGGTGCAAGCACTTAAACAATAGGTAGTTCGGGCCCAATGTACCTATATGAGGCAATGTCTAAACTTCTAGTATCCCCCTTAATAACACGTATAGTAGTCCCATATATAACCCCTATATAACACCCTCCAAGGAGTTTAGACTGCACTAGTAGCTCGCATTAAACTCTAATCCCTGTAAACTACCCTACAATCCCATTTTCCATTTCACGTTCCATTTTCTTGTCCATTTGAGTCTCCATTATTGGGGGTAAAATCTCTAAACCCTAAACCCTGCACAAAATATAGGAACCCATTTAAGGGCCCAAGCATCTTGTGCAAGCGTTGACGAACTCGTCGCTTCAATGCCCGGTTGGGCGCGTTCGCACTCTCCTTAGGGCGAGCTTCTTGCCAACATCATGTCTCTATAATATACTATAATATACTAATATAGTATAACATTGCACGATGTAGTATAATATAGTTTAATATAACATACCTAATGTCACCATGATGTTACCCCAATATGAGAGTTGTTTATATAACCCCCTAACACAATGCGTAGATAAAACTGAAACTCTAGGTGTCTAGGCCACGGAACCACTGAGCCATCCGCGCAGCATCATGTTTGAGGTTCAGGGTGAGCTTCCGGCTTTGTGTTGTATCTTATTACTATACTTAGTATTCCTACTACTATTACTGTTACTAATGTTACTGGATATCTTCTCAGGAGCTTGATAGTTGCACCTCATACTGCCTCAAAGTTATTGCATGTAGACGGCCAGAAACCTAAACTCTGACAGCTCAAGCAGACGGCCCTCCCCCAAAAAGCTACAATGTTGCAAACCCCTAAGACCCCCTCAACCCCCAATGTGTGGCCCTGTGCGGCACACAAACAACCCTGAATGTCCTGACGCAGGCGCACTGAAAGTCAAAAACAACAAGTGCCCGACACGCCAACCTATTTCTTTGTTGAACCTTCTCTGCCAGGAAATCAGGATTCATTGCAGAATCACGAAAGCTGTCCTAGCCCGGGGCCTCTTACTGTCCTGAAACACATTGCCTCCTTAGTTAGACGCCTACGCAACCCAACAGGAGCTAGATCCCAAGTCTCTGGACCACATACAAGAAGTCCATGAACTGAAATCATCAAAATGCTTAGCTGTGAGCCCTCAGTTGACGACCCTGCGCCCAGAAACTTACTGGGGGTTAATTAGTGGGACCAGTATGTAAGTAAACCTCACAAACAACCCCGGAGCCTGACACCCAGCTTCCTCGCGAGCCATCCAAGATTCACTGTTAGTGTCACTGGCTGAACATCGGTAATGGAGAAATGAATTCCTGTAGCAGCCCGTATGTAAGACTCTCCAATAATGTAGTGCATGAAAATATGCTGGTTTCTAGTTTGTTCCATTCCCTCGTTCCCTACTGACAACCATCCAGTCGACCCTAGGCTCAAACCCTACATATCCCTGAAAGTCCCCAGTTGTCAATTTATCTTTAATGATTTCTCCATCCTTGCTGACGGGAGACCCTAGCTGCAGTCATCAGCAGCTCGTCGACGGAGGCCCGACTGGCCTCCCCGGTTGCAGGTTTTGGGGTTTCAGGGCCACACGATATAGGGTTCGGGGGCCGACCTGGAGTGTATGGGCAATGAGTATGGGAGGTCCAGGTCGGTTTGATCAAGTCTGGGCAGAGGGAGGAGGAGGGCTTCTGGGGTTTTAGGGCCTTTGGCCCCTCAATATGTAGACATGCAAAAGCACGTGTATATATACACATACATACAAACGTATAAGCCGAAAGTCGGCATTACGGCAAAAAAAACACTGAACACAAGAGCCCCAGAGGCTGGCAAGGGCTCAGAGAGCCTGTCAAGGGTCGAGGATGCTTGGCCGTTCATATCCGCAGGGCCCAGGCCAACGCTCAAGACTTGTGTAAGGATTTGAACCTGCCTCCCCTGCAGGGAGGGCGCGGTGAGAGGCTAATGAGCCCACAGTACTTAGTGGTCACAACGATGCCTGTCTGAATCGACTACCATCTCTGTTTACTACCAGTCCTAAGCATCCAAGCCCTACCAGGACCACAAACTCATGTACAGTAAGAAGCCTTGCTTATACGTCAGGACAACAATGTTGAGACGCCTTGAAGTACTGATATAGTCGTTTTGAAGGTAGTGCGCGAGCGTTTTTGCTGCTTACTGGTTGAAGGTTGGCAAGCAGCACGCGGTGTTGAGGTACGCTAGAAGCGCCAAATACAATGCTAGACTACCGTGCATACTGAGGAATGCCAGCGATGTTTGTTCAGATTTCTCTGGTAGGGGCTTCAAGGGTTTCACGGCTCCACGGGGTCTTGTCGGTTTGTCTAGACTAGCACAATTGTGTGCCGCGTGAGTATGCGCTGCATCACAAACACGCTGGGGTACATAGCTGCCCCGTCCGTCCTGCCAGCTGGGTTGTGGGTCTAGGAAACCGGGTGAGCTCTGAGCCTGCGCACCCCTAGAATGCGGATCCTCACGGCACGCTGTAACAGGTACATACCACCAAAGCTGCTGAAGAAGATGCCTTTCAATGCTCGTACCCTTCAGCCATGATCAAGCTACTGAGCTTGAATGCGCTACATTTCAGCATCGGCACTTGATATGCCATGATGTAAATGAGGTCCCCGGACTACCCTGCTGCCATGCTAGCGCCGCAAATTTTGCCAAACCCTAGGAACAGAAGCGTGAACCAAATGCCTTAGTCCTTGGAAATATGCCTGAACTTGCCCTGGACTGCCCAAGCACACTCTCGCTACTCCATACTCCGAAAGCTCTACAAACTATCTGCCTTGGGGTTCTGAAGCCCGGTGGGATACGAAAACGCGTTGACGTCGCACGGCGTGTTGAGGGCATTATACCTCAGCCAGGAGCTCGGGCTCTGGAATGTGAAGTTGAGCCGCGCCACCCAGCAAGTCAGTTCAAGCCTAGAGGTATAGCCAGAATCATGGCTGTCATTTGAAGTACCATGGTACATGATGGCAACAGTATGCAACAGTACAGGCCGGCCTATGTTCAACATTTATAGAAGTTAACGGCTGCAGGCTCGGAAGTTGCAAGGACTTGGGCTCCAACTAACCTCTAATAGCGTCTAGCCTATTCCATCTGTGCCCCACCATTGTCCCACCGGATGCTCTAAGTGAGGGAAGTACTTCGTGTTGCAAAACCTACGTATCTCATGCAGGGCCTTCAGACTTGCAGCGGGAGCGTTTGTTGCGAGGAAGGTAGTTGAAGAGCCTGAATCCTGAGTTCTCTCAAAGGACTATCAGGGGAGAGGAAAAAAGGTTTGCGTCTTTGAGAATGATTTCTTGGTGGCGGTCGTTGACAAACCCACGGACACAAACATGGATACACACATCAGACTGTGGAGGTGAAGTACGAAGATCTCATGAATAGCCCTGGCGTACACCATTTCGCAATGCAGAAGCATAATCGTGATTAGCAGGCGTACTAAGAACGCAGAACGCCCTGACGGCTTACTAACAATGCAGAACGCCCTGATTACCGCCTGAAAACAAAGAGACCTACATGCTCACATAGGGCCTTGGCAAGTGCGGAAAGGATGCTACCATGTGGATGGAAGAGAGTTGTATACCATCTCATATGAATGACAACTTGCCCCAGCTGACGTGCGTGCTGCATGACCTGTGTAACGCCGCCACATCGTCCAGCTACGACAGTCCTAGATGCTCCTGCCTTTAGAAGAAAACCCCAGAGCTGATAATAGCACTGAAACTAGCACTGATTTCGGAGCCCCCATAGCCCCAGAAGCCCGCAAGGCCCTTAAAGAAGCATTCGAGCCAGAGCAGCTCGCACATGGCGCTTTGGCGAAGCGAACAAGTCTCCCCAGGCGAGTCTTTGGTCAAGCTCGAGCCACGAGAGATGGAGTCGCTGCGGCGGTCCAATTCTTCAATAAAATCAGAATAACGTGCAATCACGCGAGTATGGTGGCAGCACCAATGCTGTTGGGAATTATGAACGCGACAGGAAAATGCAGACCTTAACTCAAATGTCTTCCCCCATTGCTGCCCCTCAGCGGGCTCCCCTGAAACGGCCCTTGATCTTGGGGCTCGATGTGACAAATAGATCGGCGGCTTCAGCAGTAGGGCGTAAGCAATGGCGTACCGCACTAAGACAGCAAACCCACTTGATCCTATATGGGTGTTCTGACAATGAATAACAAAACGACAAGAAAAGCATGTACTGACAACAAGCACTTCGTGTTGTTGAGAGAAGCACTTCGTGTTGTTGAGAGAAGCGGTGACAACAACAATAGTGATGGCAATGCCTGAAGTGACAACAATCTCTCAGCAATAGCATTATCCTGGTAGTAATCCAGGCAAATCATGCTCTGAAGTCCAGAGGCTGTAAAGTACTGCCAGGCCAAATTGTTTACGAACAGCCCGCCCGGGGAAACTAATCTGCAAACTATGCTGCGTCAACGCCACGCCACAAATCACTTAACATCGCGCATGCTAAGCGTACTCATGTCTGAGAGCACCAATGATTACCAGAAAGAACAAGCGGCCACTTGCATGAGTTCTTCAGGACGTGCGCGCATCACAACAGCCCACAGAGAACCGCCACTGGTATCTCAAACGGTGAATGACTTCTTGTGTTTATGTGAAGGTGATACAGAGATAGTTACGCGGCATTGAGGCTGCTAGATAGTTTGGGATCTCTCCAGAAATGCGGGCACTCTCGTGGGAGTCCTTAGAGAACTGTAGTAGGTGGTGGAGCGCATTTTTACCCCATAATCCATACCACCATACATACCTAGCGTCCCAAGCTATACTGGCATGCCCTTTCTTAGAGAAACATATTCCAGAAAAGGCATGCCTCAGCCTCCGTGGCAAGCCGGATGGCTTCTAGCTGGGTCCTCTCCTGCATGACAGGGATGAGGGTTTGGGGGTTTGGGGCTTATAGGGCTTGGGTAGAGTCTCGAGTCCAGGGCTGTGCTGGGAGATCTCGTGTAACCAGTAACTCTGTAGCCCCAATTTTGACTGACCAATCATAGACATACTTGGCAGACTTCGGCGACTTCTGCCGGGGCTATAGCTACCCTGGGCATCCAAGTAAGATCAAAGCATTAGGAGCTAGGATGAGGTATTCATGCTCCGTATCACAAGGTGTTCCTGCAGCCCAGCCGAGTTTCCTGGCTAGTTTAAAGCAAAGCTGAAATCCGGGCACGTTGGGGCCATTCTATATGTGAACAACCATTTAGGGTGAAGTCCGGCGAAGTGGTTGTAATTTGTGTAATTGGCCCTGGGCTTTACGCTTTGGACAAGCAACTTAATGTCAAAATGGGGGCTCTTGCGACTTCAGGGGTATAACTATACGGGTTGTAACAAGCATATGGGGGTTCAAATCAAGCATTGGAGGGAACATTTTGACAAACACCTGCTTCTGACCCGGCCAGTTCCGTTCTGGGGCTTTGCAATCGACAGCAATATGCTCAACTAACAGCTTGATAAGCGATAAGTATCCCAGAAAATGCAAGTGCAACCCTAGAACTTTATAGAACTTTATCCAGAACTTGATTTGAAAATGACGGCACGTAATTAAATCATCTGGCATACACTCTCCGTTGCCACTATGACAGCCGCCATTCCAACTAGATGCAATGCTTCCCAAAATAAACACCAAAACAACTGATGTGCGTCACCATGAATCGATCAGCGTGCTCTGGGCGCATTTTCGATTCATCCGCTTGCACTCGGGAAAGCCCAGTGATGCGAATTGTAACCAAGAGTCATTGCGCTCAAGGATGCAAGTTCAAGGCAAAATTGTTGGAATTGCATGCTCAATAGGCACTCTGCAGAGAGGGCATCTGGGGAGCTGTTCTGCACATGCCACGCACAGTGCAAAGTGCGTGCAGGGCAGCAAAACTACTCTGCGCACAGCCTGCATGCAAATGCAGCATGCGTTTTGTGCAAGTATCTCCTCCCTCAGAGCACAGCATGCATCATACCTGGGCTGCCATGGGGATGTGCTGAAAATCAGTATGACAAAGATGTTTGCTAGCGAGAAAAACGATGCGCAGCACGCAAGAACCAATTGAAGCAATTGAAGTACACATCTGAATGCTCATATCTGTGGGGAGAACGGAGAGCGACCCGCACTTCAAATCGTGAACTTATTCGCCGCATCAACCCTGCGAACCAAGTTCCCCAATTGAAGCCTCCCGTTTCGGGTCAAACTGCAAGACGGAGCAAAACTGTTCCCAACGCAGCACAGAGACTCGGTCCTGAGTGCTGCATTGGCCAGCTCAAGTGCCTGCCGCTTCGTCTCACTTTCAGCAATGTTCGCCACTGCAGCCTTGTGGAGCTCCTAGCACAACGGAGCCAGCAGTAAAAGTGCTGTTGCTAATTAAAAACAATGGTCGGTGCGAGGTCTCCGCAGTCGTTGCGGCAGCATCAGCAGTTGTCACAGGTGGTGGCAGCAATCGCAACAACACCACGCGACTAACAACGGGAAACACCAACAGCGATGGCAAGAGAGGCATGTTCAGGATGTCATGAAGTGTTTTTTTGGCCATGATGGAAGCAATGTTTCAGGCGCCTGTTTCCATCTGCTCTGGTAAGCAATGTGATTTGTGGCATAGTTGCTTAGAACGTTCCTGGGAATGGTTGCGACTGCGCGTTTTTGCTCCAAATCACGTTCTCGACTCGCGCTGGCTTGGGCGCACGGTTCGCTCCAGCCAGCCGGCCTCCTTGGAGAATCCTCGCAATTTGGCTGATCAACTATGTTGCAGCCGCAGCTGCCCGTCGCGGGGCTCAGAACAATCGCTTTTGGGTGCTTCATTGCTCCAGATTGCGGTCTCGTCTGGAGCGTCCTCTTGCCTAGAGTTGTGTTGGAGCGCAGCTTCTCGCAGGCCTCCTAAAATGCTCTTGGAGCCCTAGGGCTCTTAGCACCAGGTCTGTGTGGGGGGACTAGCAACTTGCAAGTTGGAAGGTGTGCCAGGCCTCAGAGACAGTCAGCTCCCTGCGCAGTGAAAGCAGCAGCTCATCTCGGGCGCGCAAGTCGTCGGAAAGGTTGCGACACTCCGCCTCCGCTGGTGCTTCATTAGCTTTCGGGCTTCAACACGCGCATTGCGCTCAGGTTCATGGAAGTTCATGGAGTGTTTACTACCACTTTCATGACCTCAGAAAGGGCTCGCATTGGTTTGACATCTTGATTGCGACTGTTGGCGGTCGACGTTAATTTGACTCACGCAGCAAAGCCTGCTGGTGGCTAAGCTATTGTATTCTGCAGCGGGCCTCTTACCACTCATCATGGGATAAAGACATGAACCGGCCAGCTCCGAAACACTTGGGTGGCGTAGCTACCGGAGAGCATCTGAAGGTCTATGAAAAATTTATAGGGTTGTATGAACAAGCACCCAGGCTACAGTAGCCGCAAATGTTGAAAATGCGCCTGCTGTTGCCGCAGTGCCATCTCAGCTGCTGACAACTTGTTGCGCGACAAAGACCTTGCCTTTTTCAGCTTCTGGATTTCTCCCCTAGCGACTTGAAGGTCAACATGGGCCTCCACCAGACTGCCTTCGGAAACGGATACTGCCTTTTTCAACTCTGAAACCAGACCCTGCATTGAAGCACGGGTCGTCACCAGTGTCTTGTTCAGCTCTTCAACTTCGAGAAGCGCTCGCTCCCTTCGCAGTGTTTCAGCAGCATCAAGGATGCGGCATGCAGCATTGTCAGTCTGTGAGCCTCGCTCGGAACTCTGCAGCTGTGCCAGCAGGGCATTCGATGTGGAAGTCTGGTCGTAGTGGCAGCCCGGCACTTCTGCTGGTAGAACACTGGTCAACGCCTCAGCTGGACGAGCTGAACAACCCAACGAGACTGACCATACTTCCAAAAGAGACACGTACAAAAAGCAACTGTCACGTGATGATGAGTCACAGCTCTCGGAATTCTGATCCCTCTTGGTCTTCGTGTGCATGCATGTGTGGACAGCCCTGCTTTCAGACATTGCCAGACTGCCAGGCAAGTGGCACATCTGGGAACTGACTCCAAGAACTGCGTTGAGGAACGCCTTTGACGCGGAGAATCCTGAGTTTGGTTTGAAAACTCAATATAGACTGATAATAAGATGATAAGGGGAAGTATTATGGGGGTTGTTTGGGGGAACACTAAGAGTTAAGACTATAGCTCATATAAATCTACACAACCTGCGCAAAGGTCCCTATCATGAATCATGAGTAGACTGCTCCAGAAGGTGCGTAAGCAAGTCTCAGAATCATCAGCATCCCAAGGAATCACTCGCACCTTCTTCTGCCCACAGGAGTTCCGCAAAGCAGCTAGGCATGCTGGCAAAACCATGGGGATAATCCCTATATAATATAGAAATATAATAGTTTCCATTCTATTTTCCATTATCCCCATATAACCCCAATGATATAACCCTAATATTACCCCAATGGGTACCCATAAAACTCCATCTCCTTTGCTTTGAGGGGCAGTTTTTCATGGCATACATGTGGCTGATACACGCAATGTGTGCATAATGCAAACCTCTGGGTGATGTCAAGTAAAGCACGAAAAACCCACGGCCAAAAAGCTCCGCCCAAGCTTGAGCCCGGAACCAAACACCAGCACTTCCAACTTCCAAGCCAGAACAGCTAAACGCGTGAGGCATCTTAATGGCGTGAGAGCCTGATGCAAAGACATCAAGGAACATAGCTGAAAGGCCGCATTACAGCCTGGAGCTCATGAATCTTTCGGCGTGGCGATGCTCCAAATATACTTGCATAGGCTCTGGAGGAATCATTTTCGAGCCAGACACTGAATGACAAACTTGAATGCTTACGTACTCCAAGACACAGACTCAAGAGCATAATTGCTCCCAGGGAATCCCTCAAAAAAAGCTTGAATCCAGCGGAATCCAGCCTTTCCTGTTTCCGCGCAATCTCTAGGACCAACTATAGGAGAAGAACAATCCGTGCCTGTTCCTTTTCTAGTCGCTACAGCCTGACTTACTACATGGGGGGCCCAACGCTTGCTGCAAAATCTCCGCCTGAAGCCTCACAGAAAATTCCCCCGGAACCCAAGTCCAATCAGCAAGCACGCAAAAAACACCTTTGCCAGACCTCCCCTTTCAATGCACACCTGAAGCACGATGCAAACCCCAACCTGACCCCACGGCACCATCCCTGCCTCGGCCCGGATGCGGCCTTCAAGCACCTACAGCTCCATGAATAAGTAGCCCTGAAACCAAGGACCCCCTGACTTTCGTTCAGTATGAACTGAGTGGCCGGGTGGCGGTTGTCAGAGACTGTCAGGATTACAGGTTTCGAGACTTTCTTTTTTCAGCCAGGTTGCAACAATTAGGTTGGTGTGTAGCGTCTCGGAGAAAAACGGTTGAGCAGCCCATTTTCGTACTTGACAGTTGGGCTGCAGGAGGAACTTACTATCTACATCCATGGTGTCATGGCTCCGTCAGCCCCACTATGCTCAGGCAACACCTAGGCTAACAAAGGGTTACATGAGGATTATGTAGGGACATTACCCCCCCTCCCTCCAATTTGCAAGGATAATGAAAACGAAAATGGAAACTACTCCGTCAGCCCTGCTATGCTCAGGCAACATGATGGTTACATGGGCTCTCAAGAAACCTGGGCCCTGCGGCGCTCCGAGGTTCATGTGCGCTCCTGTGCATACGGTGTAGCGTTCTGGAACTGGGCACCAGCTTCCCAGTGCCTCCACAAAATTCCTGAAGCATCTACCTGCAAAATCCCAACTCAACGAAGCACAGCTTGAATATACTGGTTCTGAGCAGGGAATAAGAGAACCTAATCCCTATGCAATCCCTATATTCCCATATTCCCTACTGACCCCCAGTAAGTGAAACCCTACTCCAGAAACATATTTCAGCCCAGCGGCCCCTCTCTCAGTGGACATGGAGGCACAGGCCTGAGATACAACTGATACAAGGCTCTGGGTTGGTAGCTTAGGGCTCCGGGATGGTCTGGGTTTAAGGGTTCGGGGCTCCACATGCGTAAGACATCCCACGCTCTCTATGACTGAATACTCACCATTGTTAAGAAAGAGTTGGAATTTGTCCATGAAGTGACAAGGCTTTGCCATTGGTCTTTTAGCAGCTCCCTTGGCATCTACGAACTCAGAATGATGTCTTTGCGTTAGGTTTGGAGTAAGGAGTCAAACGAGGCATTACTTGGAGTCCCAAGGTAACCATGACGCAGTCAGAGCAATTAGGAGTCCCCAGGAGCCCTGGGTTTAAATTGGCCTGGGCCTCCAAGTACCTGCAGAATTTGGAATAAGGGCTAGCGGTAGGACTCGGACTTTAATGCATGCCCTCCTGTGAGCGGACAAACCAGCTATACGGTCATCAGTGCCCTTAGGAAACCTACGCACTCTCACCAAAACCTGGAAAAGTCCTACCTCCTACTCCTACTCCTCCTTCTACTACTTTTACTTTATGTTGGTCTTTATGTTACTTGCTACCACTATGACTTAAATTAAACGCCTATCATGACTACCACGAGGAAGAGTATGAGGGATCTGTTTGCGCCGAAGCAGCTCCAGACCGAAGGGCGCCTTCGCCTGAACAGCCGAGGGCTGAAGGATCAGGCTGTAGGCTACCTAGATCTCTATACCTGGACCCTCCAGTTATCCTCTATCCAGGCCTAAGTACCCATAGCCCCAACTCAGAGTACTTACGACTACTAGGAAAGTCCTGGTACCCCACCCCTGCTTTAGGCTACCTAGTTTTGTATATGAAGCTGCGTATCCCATAAAAGGGGTAGGGTATACAGGGGTCTAGGTACTTGGAGGGTCTGGGAAGTTAGTAACCTGGGCAACCCAAATCCCAAAATTGAGACCCTGCTATGGTCATATGATAGTTTTAGGGTCCTCACTGTGCCGCTTCGCCGCTTTGCATTACAAAAATCCTCTTGTGTTTCAATACAGGGCCTTGTAGCAAGAATTGCATAGCAATCCTATAAATAAAAGCCAACGTGCAATTAGGAGGCGATGTCCAGTGCTGTACCTGTTAGCCACACACAGAATTCCAAAACGCCTACCACAAACCCAAGTAAAAGGAACTCTTCCATTTAGGCAACATGCCATATGCTCCACCATCACTCCGCAGTCATTCCCCAGAGGAAAGTTCCGCATTAGAGCTTTGGAACGTCTGGTCCCTGAAGCGCGCCTGCGCTGAGCGAACGCCGAGCAGCACTCGACCTTCTAAGCTTGAAGCGCAGAAACATCAACTGTGCAGTACTGTAGAGGCCTAGATGGAAAAAGATGGAACATGAAATGAAAATTGGTTTGCTACAGGGGGTTTCCAGGGATTGTAATATAGGGGCTTAAAGAATAACCAATGTCATGTTGAGGTCTATTTGAGGTTGACTCTGCTATAGGTATGCAAGGAGCCGAGCCTGGGATCATAGTATTGGTAATCACTCGATGTCAAGTTCGGTCCTTGTCGGTTCGCAGGGATATACAGGGCTTGGGAAGAATACTGAACATTAAGAGTCTATGGGCCCACATGAACCTACCATATGACTTGGAGTGGACAAGATAGCTACTGGCCTCAGATTTTCCAGCCTTCTTTTTAAAAAAACAGAAGAACCCACGCGAGTTTCTGAAATGTCGGGTTACTCCAGGTGCTGAGGGAATATGTGAGACTTTCCGAACATGTGGGACTTTCCAGAAGGACGGGGACATGTATATACGCTCCAAAACATTATCATCCTTATGATAGGGGCCCAAAAGAGACCCCTAACTTTTCAAGTTTTGGAACCCCCAAAAATTTTTGGTAATATAATCGTTCTCCCTACACCCTGAACCCCTAAACCTTAAAACTCTCCAGAAATAATCTTGTAGACTGCCCATGTAAAACCCATGGCAACAACCCCCAAATGTCAGCTGGGTAGTACTTTGACTCACCGGGTCTTCGCAGGGAATAAGGAAATACACTCCCTAAATTCTATATTCCCTTAGTCTCTAATAGGAGCCAGCAAACTGAAGGCCACCCAAATGATTTGAATAGGTCCTCTTCTACCACAATAAGGGAAACTCATTCAAATTGCCACCTAGTCAGCTATGGGATGACTAATCCATGTGCGCCAAGTGGTCCTGGCATCGACAGCTGCTCCCGAGCTAGTATTCAGGATTTTCAAGCATCCTTTGAGTGGGGATCCCAAGTGGTACAACTTTCCTATCCACAGCAGCTGCCGACTTTTACTATACACCTTTACCCCAAACGGCCTTACCGCTCTGAGTTCCAAGCCACGGATCAAAGGTATCGGAACCACCCGACGTCCGCAAGTCCTGGTGCAACAACGGCTTTGAGAATCGTGACCGCCTGAAACGTGATGCGTACAAATGTGCAGGGCCGTCAGCTCCAGAACGTAAACGAGGGTTCATGGTTACCCTTTCGAGCCTGTTGTACTGGAGATTCCGTCAAAGCCTCCAACACTTTACAAGCTTCAGGCGGTCCGCTGTTACTGTAGCAAGTCTATGCCCTCGTCCTTTGTGCCGTCTGGCCCGTCTTTGATCAGAAAAATTGCTCTGTTCAGCTTTACTATGGAAGTGCCCAATGTGTAGCATAACAACTACCTTGCCAAGAGACAAAAGGGTTGCACATATGTGGGAGCTTTGAGGAGCCCTCACAAATTGAGAGCTTATTCGGGATGATCGGGGATTATTAGGGCACATCAAGGCTCGTGAGGCCTTACTAGTTTTGGAGGCCCGCCTATGGTGATCCTGTGATAAACCTGTCCACCCGTTCCCGCAATTACATATCAAGCAGACCAAGCAATTCCGCAACTCGATTCTTAAACGCAGCTGCAGGTCAGGGCAGCAATCAGAAAAATTGGGGCTTTCGAACTGGAAGGCGGGGTAAAGGAGGAGCCCATGAGTCTGACAAATTAAGCTCAATCAGAGCAATTGCAAACTCCTGCGCTTCTCGGAGGACCCCAACATGAGCCAGAAGGATGGCTAAAGCAA